CAGGATGTCGTGACTGAATTGTAATTGGACAATGTTAATCAATCAATGGTGAACCGACCACGTCATAAGTGCGCATGCGTACCAGTCTGTCCTTTTTCGCCATTTTATTTTATATGAGGTCTTGATATTGAACCATCGTTTCTTTCTTCTTCAATAAAATAAGCACCTTTACTCTGCTTATGCGATTAGAGCAAATGCTACTCATTTCTTTCTTTCCCTTTCTGGCTACTTCCATGGTTTATTTTCTTCTGTGTATTCACTATATATCTACATATATATATATATATATATATATATATATATATATATATATATATATATATATATGTGTGTGTGTGTGTGTGTGTGTGTGTGTGTGTGTGTGTGTGTGTGTGTGTGTGCGCGTGCGTGCGCTCTTTCGCGGGTGTGTGTGCGTGTAGAAGGGTTTCATTATTATTTCGTTTTGCCGTTGTTTTGTGTAACACCAGTTGCCCCCAAGTCTCAGACGGAGACTTCAAGTGACAACAAGTTTTTTTTTGTATCAGATGTAAAAAGATGAGGTCGTGTGCAATCAGAGAAAAGGATGTAATTGTAATCAATTCAGGGAGAGAAATCTATGCAAGACGTGAGAAATACTTATGGGTATGATTTTTTGGTAATTCACATATTTTAAGGCTACTAGGAATTTGATTAACATATTTACTTGCTCCTTTATTTTTCTCAAAACCCCAATAACAACAGGTGATGTTGTTGTGTTGGAATGTCCTTCTATTTACTTAGTTTATCAAACATTAGTAGTAGTAGTAGTAGTAGTAGTAGTAGTAGTAGTAGTAGTAGTAGTATTTGATTTAATAACACCTCCGGCTCTTCGATGTTTTGGCCGGCTGAAGATGATCATATCTCAGCTCCTACTCACAGCTTCGAGACACAACGCTTACCTCAGCACAAGAGCTGTTCCAACTAGTTCTACCACCTGCACAACCCCAATGATGCCAGACATCCATAATGTATCCTACAGAAAGATGCTTGGAAATAGTCCCGAGTACGCCAACCCCAGAAGGGGGCAACTTGAGCTGCTGATTTGCCCTGCCACGTCTTGGTACCTCTGTATTTTCGACTGCTTCGTATCACAAGGTTCCGCAATGTCTATCAGGATTCATTCATAACTGCACATATGCAGAAGTCTGATATCAGGACGATTACTCTCCAAGCGCTTGTCGGTTAAAATCGCCATATCCCATATGAGCAAACTAATATTATTATTATTATTATTATTATTATTATTTGGATATTTTATGTCCACTTGAAAAGGCCGTCTCTTTTAGTGAAGGATAGTTTATATAATAAGGTTGCTACCTTTTTCTATAATGATAGTTTCGACTATATTGAAGTGTGTATGGTCAGACTTTTACTGTGAGCAACTAATACAATGAATGTGTTGTTTCGTAAAAGATCTTTTTTGGGTTCATATAATTTAAATTCCTCGACATTTCTGCCATGTATACCTTGTGGCAATTATATGTGATAGATTAACTTCTTCCTTCCAGTTTTAGTTTAAGTCTGACCATAATTTCGATTTAAAAATGCTTTAATTAAAAAAGAAACCAATTTACTAGGGCGAACGTGTATAAAAATTGCTTTAATCACAAAATCATCCACAGTGAATTTTCGTTCCGGTTCTCATAACATTTCGCCATTCTTGTCAGCTCTATTATCACAATGTAGAATACTTAATAACAAAAGTAAGAAAAACACAAACAAAAACTGCGATCTATAAATTGTCGTCCAAATTACTCAAAAATGAAAACAATGTTGACAACTCATTTTAACAGATATATTTACCAATTTTCATCAAAAATATTTTAAAATAACAAAGAGTAAATCTATTCAATAAAATCGCCATTGGCTTCAACCACTGCCTCCAGATAACTTCGGAATCTACTAGAACTTTTCTGGACGGCCGCCTTGTTTAACTTGGTAAATGCTGTCATAATCCTTGCCTTCAGTTCATCTCTGATCATTACAAGGAAATTTGTTGGTCTCTCGCTCAAGGGGGTTGCAGTCGAGGGAGTTAGGTGGCCAGATGTATGGGTGATGTAGTTGCAGAAATTGTCTGATAGCGATGACTGGGTCCTCCTCTAAGTTTCTGACGGAGTCAATTGCGTCACGGTGTTTTTTGGCTTTTTGTTTGTTTGTTTTTCTCACAGACGGTGCCCAACTGAACCTACGATACTGGGCAGTCGATAAAATCAAAATCAATGCGCATGCGCGAAATTAAAAATAAAATCAATTTACCCATCGCACTCTGCAGAATCCAACATATATTAAACAGAATAAATGTGAAGTTTTAAATTTTACCGTCCCCTTTTCTTCGTGTACATGTGCGTAAGCACCACCTAAGTACGCTGAAGTTCTAAAAGACGAAACGCATTTTTTCGACTTTGCCATTATTTTTCATAATATATATAGGAACTGAGCTGCTTAACCCTCATACGTTGAATACGACGGAGGAGTTCATCAAATATATATATATATATATACATATATATATATATATATATGAAGAAAAATATGTGGAAAAACAAAAATCCGAATATGCAAATAAGCTGTTTTAATGTTATTTCAATGTCAATAATTGAAATAACATTAAAACAGCATATTTGCATATTCGGATTTTTGTTTTTCCATATATTTTTCTTCATACTGTCGAATCTATATCCATATATTTGCTTACACACACACACACACACACACACACACACACACATATATATATATATATATATATATATATATATATATATATATATATATATATATATATATATATTCTGTAGTATAAGAAAAAACAAGGCTCAATGTTAAATAACAGAGGTATTTAATATATTAAGAAATGTACATAATACCTTACATTTATTAAACAACTCAAAGTTTCATACTTTCTGGATTCTTCAGGTGCGACTTTTTGGGTTGACACGTAACGTGCTTATTTATTTAATTTTTTATTTTTATTTTTATTTGCATTTATTATTTTTATTTATTTATTTACTTTATTTATTTGCATATTTATATGTTCCTATTTATATGGCTTATATTTTATTTTATTTTATATTGTTTTAATTTATATTATTTTATTTTCATTGATATGTATTACTTTTTTAGTACTTTAATGTTATTTTATCATCGCATACTTTATTATTATTGATATCACTTCTTCTATTTTGTCTATTAATATTAATTACTTTACTGATTTTCATGGAAAAAATGAGTTGTTCTCCTTGCTTTCCAAATATTTTTTTCCTTATTTTGTCCTTTTGATACCGACAATGTCTCTTCAATTTAGAATTTAGAATTCTTATTTCCAACTTTATTTTTAATCTTAACTGTTAATCTGGGCCTAAAATCAAATCCAAAATTAAACTACAATTCATTTAAATATTTTAACACCAATAATAATCCACCCCTCGCGATAACCAAAAATATTTTTAAAAAAAGCGGTGTTAACCCCCAAAAATTCACCTGACGTATGTAGAAGGTAAAAAGTTCCGAGTTGTAAAATCAATGTAAGGTATTATGTTTATTTCTTAATATATATTGGCAATGGAATATACAGTAGATAACTTGGTTTTCACAAAGAAATTTACACACGCCTAATATATATATATATAGATAGATAGATAGATAGATAGATAGATAGATAGATAGATAGATATAATATATATATATGTGAAAAGTGTGTGTATATAAATATATATATATATAATTATTTATATATTATATACGCGGTACTTATTACAAAGTGCTCAATATCAGAGATAGAGCTAACATATGTGGTTGGATTGATGTGAGTTTGTGACCCTGGGTTTCACGCTTTTGCGATCGTCAGATGCGTGTGTGCGTGTGTGTCTGTGTATTCTCATTCCCTTTATATATATTTGATCTTTTTCTCTCATTTTTCTTCGCCTTCTCTCCATTTCTCTCTACATCTTTCTCTCTCTCTTCCATCTCTTTCTCCCTCTCCCGTCTCTCTCCCCTTTTCTCCATCCCTCTCTCTCTCTCACTCTCTCTCTCTCTCCTTTATTTTCATTCACTCTCCATTTTTCTTTGTTTTGCAATCTCTCCCTCACAGTTCCAATATTCTCATTTCTACTGCAATCTTCTTGATTCTTTTTCCGCTGCCTTATTTTATTGTCTGACTTGAATCCCTGCATTTATCTTGTCACACGCTCTACTTATATAATATGTTCTTACTTAACTCTATTACTCTGTAATTTACATCTCCCTTTTCTTTTCTCTTTAGCCTTTTCTAATTTCCTCTTTTCCCTTTTTCTCTTCTTTTTCGTCTCCTCTCTTTCCTCTTCTCCTTCCCCATTTCCTTTTATTTTTCTCTTTTTCCTCTTCTCTTTTTCTTCTTCTCTTTTGCCCTTCTCTTTCCCCTCTTTTCTTGATCTTGATAATTGCTTTTTCTATTTTCTCTCCTCTTTTGTAGGCTTTTATTTTCTCTCTCTTTTTTTTTACTCGCATTTTTTATTCTTTTCTTTCGTTTCTCTCTCTCTCTCTCTCTCTCTCTCTCTCTCTCTCTCTCTCTCTCTCTCTCTCTTCCCTATTTTCTGTCTTATTTATCCATTTTCTCCTTCGTTTTTCATTTTCGTTCACCTTCTTGCACTACACTTTCTGTTTCCCTTCTCTTATACCTTTTTTCTTTTTCATCTCTCTTACCTAGTCATCTCTCTCTCTCTCTCTCTCTCTCTCTCTCTCTCTCTCTCTCTCTCTCTCTCTCTCTCTCTCTCTTGTCCTTCTTGATTAATGTACGGCAATATTTCCGGAATTAGCTGCACTGATTATCGAAGAAAGATGTGCGTCCTGATCGCCGAATCCATCATCCGCTTGGCCGACTTTCCCCCAACCAATCATCGATCGCCCCTAAAACGACAATGTCAGCCGATATAGTGGATAGCGTCTCAAACAAACATACATCTTCTCACTTTGGATGCTTTAAAAGATGAAGCCCGTCTCACGTTTCAGGTTGGCCAGGCGGTTGGGCAGGGATTTGTTGCTAGGCAACCGCAAGTTAGCGGACCAAGTTCAGAAAGCATGCGTGTATCATGAAATGTAACAATGCATTTCCGAAGCAAGTGATCTACATGGTGGATGTGTGAATATGTGAGTATAGAGAGATATTTCTGTATGAAAGCACTGAAGAAAAATAAGAAAACACGCCAAAGAAAGAAAGAAAGAAAGAAAGAAAGAAAGAAAGAAAGAACGTATGTATAAATGTAGGTAGGTAGGTAGGTAAGTAGGTAGATCACTTCCAAACAAAGTTTTTGAGAAAATGGAAACACAAAGGACACTTGACATCAGCGAAAGACAGTTGAAATTTCTAGGGTACATAATGAGGAAATAGGCTTGTAAAATCTGATACTCACAGGACAAATTGAAGGCAAGAGGAGCAGAAGAAAAGAACGTATAACTTACCTAGAATAAATGGATGACGGCAAAAAGTTTAGGGGGGATAACAAAACGACAAAATTTGTTAAGAGCTACAAAGGACAGGAAATTGTAGAGATTCGTGTTCGCCAATGTCCTAAAGAGACACGGCACATAGAAGAAAAAAGTAGGTAGATATGTAGATATTTAAGCGTCTTCTCATTGAAATGAAATATGACACAAAGCTTTGCCATTTGGACGTCTCAGACATTAAGGACTACACGGATCCTATCCTTTTGGGAGCAACGGAGAGACCCTGTCGGGAAGAACAATCACCTACAGCTGAGCTTTTATACTATTCCCAACCTCGAATCACCGTGGTTCTAGCAAGTGGGCAAGGTGTATGCCCATATTTATGAATTTCTATTTACTGCTAGTGTGGAAAAGACTATGTCTCGGTTGGTGAACTAAAACGTTATATAACAGTTCACGAAAATATTACTATAACAAATACTAAAAAAAAAAAAGACGTAGTAATTACTATAAAAACTACCGCGGGAGAATGTAAATCCCTAACAGGGCGATAAAGCCAAACCCTTATTTGACATCAGGTAACTGCGTTACTTGAAATCGAGTCGAACATCATTATGTACCTGTGTATATATGAAAGAGTGAATGGATGCGACCGTGAGAGCTAAGTTCGAATCTGGTTGATTTGTCAAGATTATGACTTCTTGGTGTTATTGGCCTGGAGAGGCGATCACAGTGTGTGATACCTATAGAAAGTGTCTAAAAAACATACGACGGGGTGAGCCAAGTCTTATGAATGAAAATAAGTAGACTCTTCTGAGGCAGTCGATGGTTGTCCTAGCATGAAGTCAAAAGTCATCGTTGTCGAGTGCTTAAGTGCACTGTTCTGGTTCAAATTGTCAAATTATGTTATGCTGTCTCTCCCAGAAACTCTAACTAAGTTTCGCTCAGCACAGTTGCAGTATAAAGAACAGGTATAAAAAAAACAGGTCTTAAAGTGATTATGATTGTCGGATTCAGGGAAGCATCCCCACTGGAGCTTGTTTCACAGATTAGTATTTAGAAAAAAAAATAAGCTGAGTGTAACTTTCTTCTGAAATTTGAAATATGATGCAAGAGGGGATGTTTCGACACCGTGTCAGAGTTGTACAGATGTTTGGTAAAACTAAAGAATGAAACTCAATCCAATATTTTTTTAATCAATTCACCCCAAGCAAGGTGATAATGCCACAAGTTGCAAGAGATACTACAAGTGAAAGAGAATAAGACTTTAGAAGAAACCTGAAACCTAATCTTAAATAGGAAACAAGGGAAAAATCTCTAATCCTGTTCAAAAAACCGGGAGGAGAGTGAACCGGGCGATAAACGAACCTATCTACTCCTATTAACGTTTGCCATGGAAACAGCGGTAGAGTAGTTCCACTCATGTTTCAATGTGTATATGTCCAGGCGATTATTGAAGAAATTTGACTTTCACGAAGCAAAATAAGTATCTTTCTTTTGATTTACCATTTTTCTTGCAATTTATTCGAGTATTTCAATTTGAAATCTGAATTTTCATTAAACGACGAATATTCGTATCCTCCCAGATTCTATTTCCAAACAAAATCAAAAAATAATCATAAGCTTAAATCTTGAAATGGCGAAGATATTACGATGGCTTGGCAAGAAATCCGTTCTTCCAGACGGTGCCTTTCTTTCACCAAACATCCTAATTTGCTTTTAAGTAGACGTTTAAACGTTTATTGGACAAATCAAGATTTGAGATAATGCTTTCTGAAACAATATTAATTAGAGCTAAGACTATTTTTTAATCAATTCACCGCAGACATGGCGATATTTGAAATTTGGAAAATGGGGAAGATGTTTCGACTCCGTGTCTTAGTTGTAATGATGTTAGTTGGAACGAAATTATGAAGCTCATCAGAACAATCTTTTTAATCAATTCAACCCAAGCAAGGTGATAATACCCGCAAGAATCAAGGACACTACTGCGAGTGAAAGAGAATGAGAAGGAACACGGGATAAACCTCTACTTATGTTCAAAAGACCGGGCAGGTGTTTGACTTTATCTACTTATTTTGTTTTTGTTTTTTTTTTGTTTTTTTTGTTTTTTGTTTTTTTGCGGATAGGTAGATAAATTCATAGATAGATAGATAGATAGATAAATAGATAGATAGATAGATAGATAGATAGATAGATAGATAGATAAAACAAAAGGATAGATAGATAGATAGATAGATAGATAGATAGATAGATAGATAGATAGATAGATAGATAGATAGATAGATAAAACAAAAGGATAGATAGATAGATAGATAGATAGATAGATAGATAGATAGATAGATAAAAAGAAAGAAAGAGAAAGTAACAAAAAACTTAAAGATAGAAAGATAAATACATAGATTCCTAAAAATAAAAGATAGATGGATTCATAAAAATATAGGATAGATAGATAAATGCATTTATAAAAAAAAATAAAAGATAGATAGATAGATAGATAGATAGATAGATAGATAGATAGATAGATAGATAGATGTATTGTTAGGATACATAATACGAGTAAAAGTGCAGAAATGAGATAAAATAGAAAAGCTTTTTAATGACATCGCGTTTCTCCGTGTGTTAGGTAGCCCTCTTCAGGCTTAATTAACACACGAAGGTGTTATTATTTATCCATCCATTACTTGACAAGAAAGTTATATAACTTGATCATTTATCGTTACAGTAAATCTTATTAATTCGTAAAACCAGGATGAGTGGAACAATTACAAAATGTTTCTTTAATATTGCTGCTCAGTATTATTTTATTTTAAATATTTCATCTTCTTCCACTTTAACAAACTCTAAACAGTCACATAACAGCAAGTTTCTTCTGAAATGTGGAATACAGAAACGCGGCCGTGTTATATGTGTTCTTTGCTTCAAAAATGCACAGTGAAAATCTCATGATGCCTTTTCTAAAATTAGGTCTCTGGTTAGGGCCCGGAAGAAAATGAGTATATATCAGAAAAAATAATAATAATAATAATAATAATTCAATTAATATTCTATATAGAGAAGAGCAAATTTACCCTTGTGTAGTGTGTCTGGGAAAGTTACTGAATGTGTGTAACTCACTGTCAGTGGCTACACTCCCCTAGCACTAAAAGGGCACAAATGAAGTCATGAAAAATTATCCCTCATATACATTGATAACAATGTATGAAGTACGCCACGGTCGGGCAAAAAAGAAATACGATCATTCACAACCGTCAGTAGCCGTGAACGAGTAAGTGAATCTAATGTGGGATGCAAACGATTTGCTTGACAAGCGATTGGAGAGCAATCGCCCTGGCAGCACACGTGTGCAGAAGAGTAGCCATGAATAACTCCTGATAAACGTTGAATTACGTTGAGATAAGAACATTGCGAAGGTGAAACAGGCGACAAAACAGAGGTACCAAAACCTGGCAGAGGGCAAATCGGAGAAAAACAGGGGCAATGAGAATGTTATTTAAACACACAGTTGGTAGGGGTGGATAGAGAATAGGCGAATTATTGCCTTTTCTGAGAGCAATTCTGCGAAAGTGAACGCAACTAACTAACCTGGAATTTGAACACGGCTCGTCGATTCATCTTTCCGCGTCCAATATCCATTACGTTACTCATACCCCTAAGCTATCTATACACAAAACTACCAACTGTGAAGCGATGGCTATCTAGTTGTTTTTTTTTTGCTGTGTTAGTGAATATGTTTCTTGTTTGCGAATCCAATGATGTTAATAAGTGCACGCAGAATTCGTGGAAACTTAAGATATTATCACTATGTAATTACAGACAGAATCGTGCCGTTATATGCCAATTAAATATAAATTTACAGTAATAAAATTAAGGAAGAAAATCATTAAAAATAGGTAAGAAAGAAAGAAAGAAAGAAAGATTTTGACAATATTAAGACATCAGATTGGTGAGACAGTCTGACGACAGTGACTTCCGTGTTTTCGGTTGTGCAATGATTATCACATCCGTTCCTGTTTGCAAAGCGTAACGTCTCGTTCCTAAGTACTAGACTTTATTTAGTCTCTATCTTACTCTGAATTTTCATTTACTCCAGTTTATCTGGAAAAGTTATTCAAGAAAATATTCTGTAATCCACGGTTTCCTTATTCGTACTTGTCCTGAGTGAACTTTCCTACAGTTAGTTACTGGTAACTCTCGCTAGAGAGCAAATAGTAGCAAGTCTCCTAAATACTTCAGCACCTTCCACAGTATTATCGGTAATTTTAGTAATGCAGTTGATTAGTTACGCTTTTTCGGATTGCTACCTCTCTCAAACTATCTGCGGCTTACGGTCACATTACTCTGAAACACCGGTACCCGCACGATTACCGAAGTTAAGCAGCGTCGATCCCGATCAGTATATAGGTGGGTGACCGCTTGGGAATATCAGGTGCTGTAAGTTTGGAGGTGCGGCTGGTGTAATGGATAATGGTTCGAAATTGTTAATCGGAATGCCGAGTTCCAATTCCGGTTGGGTTCGTTATATTAACTTATGTGCAAATATCATTTTGGAAAGGTATGAATCCACCTCTTCTCCACCCCCAGATATGGGTTAATTAGTAAGAATTGATTCATTAAAACTATTACTCTCTCCAAAAAATTTTAAAAAATACAAATTGCGTATAAAATTTTTAGATTTCGACTTTAAATAACCCACAGAGGTGTTGATATGCCGCTAAACAAAAAACAACCAACTAACCAGGCTATTTGCAAGGTTTTAGAGAATGTCCTGGTTAATAAAAATTGAAAAGACAAAATTTAACCTGCTGTGAATTTATAAAAGATTTTCGCTAGACCTGGTCTCTGGATTTAGTTCGGATAAGCCGTTTGAAATTCAAACTTCTAAACAAAATTCTTTTTTTTTATTTTCAAAATATTTGTTACTTCCTATTTAGGATAAGACTATTTTGCCGGTCCCGGTAAAATAGGCAAACATGCTTTTAAGCTTATTTTACCGGTCTTGGTAAAATAAACACCCAGGTTAATTTTATTATTATGAAGGCAGATAATGTTAAAAATAACAACATCACAGATTTAACACAGAAATTTATTTATTTTTACCATCAATTGCGAAGGCAATTTAAAATCTTTTCCAGCATCACTTGTTAAAACACAAGTTCAAATCATTTATTCATCATCAATTATTGAAAGAAATATAGAGAGTCTCTGAATATTTTAAGCATTTCAGGCATAACAATCTCTGCAAAACCAAAACTTAGGCATGGTTCCCTTACCAATAAATTTCAGGTGTACCAACTGAAGACAAAAGTCACAGTCCACAGAACTCATGTTGTTCCTCTCCTTCCTACACAGCTCACACAACCACTGCGCTGACGATCTCAAATATAATATATTCTAAGACACTATTTATATTTACCAGCAAAACAGCCTTGGTGTCTATTTTACCCGGACCTGCAAAATAGCCTTGGTGTCTATTTTACCCGGACCAGCAAAATAGCCTTGATGTCTATTTTACCCGGGCCTGCAAAATAGCCTAGGTGTCTGTTTTACCGGGGACCTTCAAAATAGCCTTGGTGGTTATTTTACCCGGACCAGTAAAATAGCGTTGGTGTCTATTTTACCCGGACCAGTAAAATAGCCTTGATGTCTATTTTACCCGGACCAGCAAAACAGCCTATTCGTTCTAATTATATCATTGTTCTGCACGATTAATTCTCAATTGTTTGCGTCCTTAGTAGCAGATTATAGGTCCAACCCAAATGCAATTATCATTATTTTAGTAATATTATAGAGGTACTTTTTTGTCCGCCTAGCTTCCGTCTCTAACTAGAGAAAAGAAAACACGGCTCCAGTTTCAATCATGTTAGCTTTTATGGGTATATAGGGATTTGTATATTTACTCTATATTTGTGGATTCATGAGACCCTTAGGGTCGTTGGGATACCACATGTACTGCAGTAGCAGTGGATTTTCTCGGTCAGGATAACCTGACGGAGCCCAGCCATCGCGAGGCTGGTTTGAATTCAGAGTTTTCCTTCTCCTAGACTTGTCACCAATCAAGACTACATGATCTAGTCTGTCCTGCTATTTAATCCTAATTTGGGGGAAAATAGATGATTGGGGTATTAGCACTTAAGTGAATGTAATGAACTCGATTGGCTCTCTGATTTCTCAATCTGAGCCGCTATCCATTACTTCCTGTATTTATCCCAAAGCTGGTTGGGTCGGGGAGAAATGGATTCATGCCTTTTCCAAGAACATTAGTGAATAGGCCGGAACTTGAACTCAGCTTTCCAATTTAAAATCTAATATTTTTTAGAGATTCCAAATACGCATAATCGCTATAATTATTATCTTCAGTTTTTCTGGTTGATGAAATCCTTTTCCAAGTCTTTTGCCTGAAACTTGAGGTAAAGTAAAAAAAAATCTCTTGGGAAAATATTGAGTATGTTACCTTGGGAGAGTTTTTCAGAGTATGCAAATAGTACTTGTGTGTATAATTGTATTTCAGATACTGATGAGTTTACTGGTATTCTATTAATGTATTTATCAGTATTCTTTTTTAAGACTTCCTAGTGTTCCTATTATTATTGGAATTGTCACATTTTTGAAATTTCAATTTCACCAGGTCCTCCTATTTTGAAAGTTTGTGAAATTCTTTTCATAAGATGTTTTATCAAACGGACTGATTTTTTTAAAGTCTTTTATTATCAGAATTGATCTTTTGGTTTTTGTAATACAGTCGATATGTATGTTGTAATCCCGGAGCAATGTAACATTTTTACTTTCCAGCACTGTTGGTGGTTTGTGTTCGTATCATTTTTCTGCTCTTTAACATATCTTCCAACTCAGGTATTTCGTTACACTGTCTATATTTAAATTCATTTAGAACTAACGTAAAGATCATTACTATTATTATCACAAACAGAATCACAAGGAATTTTACCAAGTAAGAAAAACCACATCATTTGATGACTTTCAACAACAGCAACAACTAAAATAGGCAACACATGTAATTCAACGACCAAGATGTTGTCGTTCCTCACTACTTCAAACAAAAGGTTAGGAAGGAAACCCGCATCAGTACTGGAAAGAGCAATAAAAGTTACTGGACTTGACAAATGTATTTTCTTGAAAAATTGTTTTAAGAGAAATATTTTATAAATTTCAACCGACATTAGTACTGGCTGCTCGGCCAATGAATGCCGAATGTTTCCTTATAAGGAAACAGCTAATATTGCCATTACTGTTATGAGACAGCAGTACTCCAAAAAAGTGAAGCTAGGTTACAAATATATGAAGCCCAGTATACCCATCATGGTAACTAGCTTGATAAGGGTATATCAGACACACGCATCACAGCCAAATATGTGCGGTATGGTGACAGGTTTTGATCAAAAGTAGCGCAATGCATTGCAGGTGGGGTCTAGTTAGATATAACTTCAAGTAGCCCAATCCTCACAGACGGTCTCCGATTGAGGGTATTCCCAAGTATCTAGTTGTGACTCTCAAGTCACATATGCTGCTTCTTCAACAAAAAACAATCCTGAACAGAAATGAAGCAACCCTTCTACTCCCGTTCATGAACAGAGATGCACAATGCATCAGCCCCTAGAGGACATGGCCAACTCGATGAGATCAGGCAACAGATAATCAAATCCGGGATCTTGAATCAAGTGTTTATTGTTGCACCTATTAATTCACAAAGAAAAACACGTACATCCTCATCGTCCTATAGTAGTAGCAGTATTCACTAATACAGCTCTTTCAGATGTCTGTTACTTCCCCTTTATAGAATTCGTATTATAATCATTTATCAATGTTAACATCCGGAATCATTATTATTATTATTATTGTTGTTGTTATATCAGAGATCATCTCCGGTCATTTGACCTTTCTGAAGGATGATAATGGTCACAATACTTTCCTCAACACATGAACTGATACAAGAAGCTCTGCCACCCGCACACTCCCAGTATCTCCGACGCATCACAAAGATTCCGTAAAAAATTGTTCCGAGCGCGCCAAGCACAAAAGGTGACAACTTTAGATGCTTCATAGTTTATTTCTCCGATTTGCCCTCTGCCAGGTTTTGGTACCTCTGTTTTGTCGCCTGTTCCACCTTCGCAATGTTCTTATCTCAAAGTAATGCAACGTTTATCAGGAGCTATTCATGGCTACTCTTCTGCACACGTGTGCTGTCAGGGCGATTGCTCTCCAATCGCTTGTCAAGCAAATCTTTTGCATCCCACATTAGATTCATTTGCTCATTCTCGGCTACTGATGGTTGTGAGTGATCGTATCTCTTTTTTGCCCGACCGTGGCGTACTTCATACATTGTTATCAATTTATATGAGGGATAATTTTTCATGACGTCATCTGTACCCTTTTAGTGCTAGGGGAGTGTAGCCACTGACAGTGGGTTACACACTTTCAGTAGCTTTCCCAGACACACTGCACAAAGGTAAATCTACTCTTCTCTACATAGAATATTAATTGAATTATTATTATTATTCTTTTGTTTTCTGTTGTATATCCATTTTTTCCCTGTCCCGACCAGAGACCTACGATTGGAAGAGGCATCATGAAATTTTCACTGCGCATTTTAGAACTTAAGATCACACACATTTTAAATTTATAAGGCGGTTCGTAAGGTGTCATCTGTACTTGAGAGAATTTATTGCATTTCTTTAAAGTATGGGCTATCAGGGATCCATTCAATGGGTTTATCAGAACATTTTGCAATCAAGCCGTGCTCTTCAAGTGCCACATTCTTTAGATTTCTACTTGAAGATCATTGTAGTGCCATGTCAATAAGAAAGGACATTTTGTTTTTCTGGTCATTGATCACTATGTCAAGAGGATTAGCGTTGATTGTTCTGCCGGTGTGTATTGTAACTATGTCTGGACGATTTGCTTTGATTGTTCTATCTTTATGTCTTTATTAGTATTAGTATTATTATTATGGAATTTTTTTCGTTCATTTTTAGGAGCTTCTAAAACACGTAATGTATATAATGTTCATATACGTACATTACTTATCTTCCAATGATTTTAATAGTCATAATTGGGGGTGATGGAAATAAGCTCCCACTGTCGAGACAAAAAACCCGGAGTGGAGCACCGAAGGCAGTTGGCTGCCAACACTGATAACTTTCCTGCAAGTCCTGCAGCCAAGCCGACCCTGTTGTGACCAAGTAATTGGTTAAGAAACAACAAAACAAGAGGTTGCAGATAAATAGTGTATTGAACAGAAAATACAACAGAATTGTGTTACAAGACTTGGGAGTGTGTGTCGGTTGACCAGCGTTCACTGTTTCCCCCGAGGTTTACTTTTCCTACTACTTTATAGTAAGTGGAAGGTTCCAAGATAGACTCATTAGAGGGAAGACACTACCTCAGGCCCCAAATGTAATGCCGTGTATTCCTTTGGATCTTGTCGGTACAATATAGGGGACACGTAGTGTGGGTATCGAATGGCCTCTATATACCATCGCCTAAGTGTGCTCCATCGAGAGAACACTCCAGTCTCACCATCAAATAACTGATTTTGACCAAACAGGACGGTACCTTTATCTTGCAAGTCAAACGAATGCCTACTAATGTTACTAAGGAAAGGGAAGACAGTTACAGTTTTGTCAGTTAACACTTTTAATTAAAAATTAGTCGGAAGCAAACGGTCTGAATGGTATGAATCTTGCTTTATTCTTCACGTTAAAGCATTTTCACGGTATTTTGCTAACAAATATTCCGCTATGATGTACCCTTTTTGCTGTACCGCACTTATACACACGCAACATATACAATTAGAATCAAATACCTATGGTAGCAAGTCTTATCAAAGTTTCAGTGTCATACATAATATCTATATTTCAATGATTGAGTGACAGTCTTTCCACAAATATCTAATTCCTCCAGCTTTATTTGTAATAACTTTCCGACAAATGACATTCTTGAAATGTACATAAATACACACATGCATCTTATTATTAAGGAATAAGACATCTATAATATTTTCCTTGTATTTTAATCTTATTTTCAAAATATTCTAGTTTCCCTTAAGGAAAATCAAGTAGATTTAATAATTTGTTACAACAACACTGTACATATGGGGAATATGTGCATCTGAACCGTAAATGTGATATATTACATGAAAAAGAACTTTTCACTATATATACATATATATATATATATATATATATATATATATATATATATATATATATATATATATGTTATTTAGGACCGAATTCAAAGAAAGAAAGAATATCCGCTATATACTTCTGGTAACTCGGAGTTCTTAGCGCCGAAGTAAATGATTGCGTAAACAGATTGCCTTGTCGCATTCATAATGGGAGAAATTCGGCGGGAAAGATAATCTCATTTTTGACATACATGTCAGCGGAATGTCGGGCGCATGCGCGCCAAATGAATGTATGACAAGCGATTAAGAAAGACATAAAAACGTCAAACTCGTCGTTAGGGCTAAGTGGTTAGGCTAGTAGACAGGCGATTGTGACGTACATGATTCGCTAGAAACGTTCTAGTAGTGTCGTAAATTGCAACAAATCCAAAACCTTAAAACTCGTGTTGTTTTTTAACAAGTCTCTTCAGATCGATACTTTCATATGGATGTCATGCATGGCGCCAAATTCGTTCAGAAATATCTACACTATCAGTTGTATACTATCACCGCTTTCTCAAATCAATTGTTAAAAATGGCTTCGAGCGAATGTAGGTCTTAACAAGAACCAACCTACTTCGAATCTTCTTTGTGGAAAGGCTACAAAATCGCAAATAAACAACTGTACCAAGTAACAGAAACCACATCACTTCAGGACTTTCAATAGTAGCAATAACGAGAATGGATAGCAGAAAGTAATGAGATAATCAAAAATGTGGACATTCCACACTACTTCAAACAAAAAGTTAGGAAGAAAACTTCCACCAATATTGGAAAGACCGATAACAGTTACTGGAATTGAGAAACTATTTTTCTGAAAAATATCTTTTATATAAAGATTTTATAAATTTGAACCGACAATAGTTCCAGCTGTCCGATCAATGAATGCCGAATATTTCCTTATAAGGAAAGGCTAATATTACCGTTATCATTACCATAATATTTGACTTGTATTAAAAATCAAATGCCCTACTTTTCTTAAACATTTTTTTTTTAATATTTGTGCAAGATTCAGTTAATAAAGGGTGCGATGGATAAATTGTCGTCTAAATGACGCAAAAATGAAAATAACACTGATATCTCATTTTAACAGATATATTTACCAAAATTACACAACGATATCTTAAAATACTAAAGAGTAAATTTATTCAACAAAATCTCTATTGACTTCAACCACGGCCTCCAGACGACTTAGAAATCTCCTGCAACTCTTCTGGGTAGTCTCATTGTTTAAGTTATTGAATATTGCTATAATCCTTGCCTTAAGTTCATCTTTGATGTTACAAGGAAAGTTGTTGGTCTCTCACCCAACTGCGCACCACACACAATAATCAAAGGGGTTGCAGTCTAGGGAGTTAGGTGGCCAGATGTAAGAGATGATGTGGCTGCAGAAACTATCTGAAAGCCATAACTGGATTCCTCTGCTTGTGTGGCACGGTGCAGAGTGCTATTGACTGATATAAAGTCTTCCAGTAACAACCCTCTTGACCCAGGGCCGCACTACCTCCTCAAGGCACTTGATGTAGGCCTCCGTGTTTAGTCTGAAGACCTCCCCAACAAATTCGGGAGTTCTTTTCTTATCAGAACGATCAGAGTGAGTTTTCCGAGCTGCCGTACCGTCGTAATCATCCAACTCTTTCCATATCCTCTGAACTGTTCTCAGATTGTTGACACACAAACACTATGAAATGTTTATATTGGAGCTTCCGACGAAAATGCCAAGCAATACGGCATGCTTTTTCCAAATTTTCGGCAAAGTGAATTGCGTCATTGGTGCTCTTTTTCTCACAGACGGTGCCCAACTGACCCTACTATACTGTGAAGTCGACAAAAACCAAAAACTAACAAAGCGCATGCGCGAAATTAAATCTATAAACTGACGACAATTTACTCATCGCACCCTGTATATTGCTTTCATTTATTCAGATCCTTTCTTGGGTACAGTGGGTCTTTCCTTAATATCTCTTTTGAAGTGATTAGGGGCGCTAAGTGAGCAGGAAACAAATCCAATTTGAGTCTCACCTTGGTGATTTTGACATGAAATCGATTTGCGGCGCACTTAAGCTTCGACTTTGTCTGACGCTTGCAAATTTAGCTAAGTGATTACCGCTGTTGACTTGAAGCCCCCAAACTATGTCTGACTGATGATGATTTTAAAGGAATGATTTTAGATGTACCTCCTGGTATCTAAACTAAAGTAGCAGTTTCTTTTCTTTTCTTTTTTTTTTGCGCATGCTAATATTAGACTGATAAAAGGTACAAGGTATCAAGTGATGAAAGAAATCATTACCAATACCTATATTTGCTTTGCTAAGACAGTGACCCTCAAGGAATCCAGTGACCCTCAAGGAATCCAGTGACCCTCAAGGAATCCAGTGAAGATTGAACTTAATTACACTCTCTGGTTTCTGTCTGAATTTCTGGTATGAGGAGTTATAGTTATTTACATTCAAGACTAATATCCTTATCTTTGTTGTATTTTTCGATTCTAACAAATCTCGGGCTTTGCGAAAGGTCTTCGAAACATTTTTTTCATATTTTTTGTGAGTGGACCAGTCTATTTAAGTCGTACCCTGGAGTGTTCTAAAAATAAGAGAACTCGTTGCTAAAAAAAAAGTCTGATAATACATCAGTGACTTATTACAACCTATAGCTATTATGATCGGTCCTTACTGGATATTTCGTATCTCTGTTAAACCAGGCGGGGATAAATAAATATCTTCTTTATATCCACTTGGGCGCCTCCTGTAGATTACCAGTACTTACGTCTCATTCTTTATTCTACGCTAGTGAGCTTGTGTAGAATTTTTGTTAACTGGGGCAAATGTAGGTCTTAGCAAGAACCAACCCACTTAGAATCTTCTTTGTGAACTGGACAGGCTACAAAATCGCAATAAACAACTGTACCAAGTAACAGAAACCACATCACTTCAGGACTTTCAATAGTAGCAATAACGAGAATGGATAACAGAACGTAATGACTTGTAGTGAGGGTATTTCATATATATATATATATATATATATATATATATATATATATATATATATATATATATTTATATATATATATATATGTGTGTGTCTGTATTAAGATATGTCTCATTGAATAATTTAGTTTTGTCTACTTTTTTCGATAGGATCTTCTCATATTCACAGACAAGCTTCTTAGTATTGTTATTAAAAAATTGTTGTGTCCATCTGAAACTTAAATTTTTAGCTGTGATGTGATAAACACTAAGGTTATGTACTTTATGTAATAGTCAGAAGAGGTAAGTACATTTGGAATTTCCATTTGTTTAAAAAAAAAAAACTAGATATTTTTAAACAATCTACTGTAAACATTTTAAAACATTTGTGCAATATTCGTCATTAATTTTATTAAGATTTGGTTTCATTTTTTTAATATAGATCGCTCCAGGAATTATAATTATATATATAACTTAAATGGTGTAAAACATTTACCATTAATCTAGATTTTTAGATGGAAAATGATCGGACTAATTCCAATTTTTTAGTCCCAACAATTTAGACCATTCCAGTCTCAATGCCCCCGTATACCATTTTTCGTAATGTTAACGAATATTCGATGTCACTTTCGTAATGCTCTTTGTAGTAGAGACTTTGTAATCGCAGTTACAACTACAGAGATAGTATAGTGAATAGAGTAGAGAATAGCGAACCGTATAGTAATAGAGTATAGACCAGATATGCAGATCAGTTAGACGTCACACGACTTCCTACTTATGCACTTCCACTATGGTCACGTGGTCTACTTAATTCAATAATGGAGACGCCTGTATTTACTCACTGGCGTTCAAACTCAAGTGTCGGCAGCGACACTTTATTCCTATATAACACATTTACAAGGAGATACGACTCAGACAGATTTTTCTTTCTCTCAAACCGCTGGTTTGTTGAATTGAATCCCGCGTGTGTGCTTCCCTGAATGCTACAATCTTAACTACTTCAAGACAAGGATCAATCGTTACCAATCTCCAATATCCTCATAATCCTCATATCACACGTCTCATTCAGAAAGCCTCTACTTTAAGTGGCTCTTGAGATTTTTATTGGTTGAACATTACTAAAATTAAATGTAGATATTTAAGAAGTTTGTTTTGACCTGTGACCACAAATATGAGCTATCCAGCGAGAATCGAGCTCTCTAACACTGGTTTGAGGAGTTTGCCTTGCCGAAGGAACCCCAGTGACAATAATGTATATTATCTACATTTAAGAGAAAAGAAAAAGAGTCTACGCTATCTAATTTCCGATGCTGGAAATAGAGTATCTTGTTTCGATGCCACTTCTTCTTTTCTTTTTAAGTGAATAAGGTCACTTTACACTTAACAAAGGAGAATCAATGTTCCAAGGCTGATGAAAGCCATACAGCCGGCCGTATATGTCAGAACAATGAAAGTCAAAATCCTATATAGAGCAGCTAATATTTGCCTACCTCTGCCTCTTGTATATTGGATACTGACCGCCAGTTAACGCAAATAGCTATAACTTGACCGCTTGCTGGTATTTCAAAGACCGAAACGCCCACGGCCGACAGAACTGAAAGGGAAGCCAACCAGATGGTCAGTAAATTTAGCTCTTTTTGGAGAACTTCATTTTGACATGAAATCAATATGCGATGCACTTACACACCGACTTCGTCTAATGCTTGCGTATTTAGCTAAGTGATTACAGCTACTGGTTGCAAGGCAAGGAGATTGAGAATCCAACTTAACTATCAGGTTAGTGATGCTCGTTATAACTCACTCATCTAGAATTATTTATAATAACGTCCCTTTCATTTTTTTAAGTTTCTTCTTTCAGGGTCATCATCAGGTGCATAATCATATTCTCCTTTATCTTATCCACGGTTCTAAGTCTTCTCACTTTCAAACACTTTAACTTTTTCATACTATTCTTCACTCAATACAAGGCTCAAGAGTCACCTAAGGTAGAAGATTAGTGAATGAGGTTGCTGTAAGCGCGAAAATGCCGGAACTAAGAAGTACATATTATGAGGATACGTAAAATAGATAATGAATCTAGACTTGAAAATGTTATAGGTGTTATGATCTGAGAAGCATCCTCTTGGGAGCCTGTTGCACAAAGTAACATGTTTTAACGAATAAAGTCTCCGAAAAACAAGAATAAAGGTGTTGACAC